AAAAGAAAAGAAAAAAGAGTTTAGTTTTCAATGCCCAGACCTGTTTATTTCCATTTCATTGAGAGTCACATTCTCAGTTCATCCTTCCCCTTGCAACTGTCTTGGAAGATTTTCTGCCCCTTTGTCAAAGCCCCATTTGTTGAGTGGGCTGCCCTACCAGTTCTTTCTAGTCTTAAATGTGACTGCACTTAACTTAGAGCCGGGGGGGACTGTAGGAACTAGAATCTCCTTGACTGCTTTTAGGACATTAAGCATTTAGTTTGTCATTGGCGAAGCAATGTGATTATCAGCCAAAGGCAGCCCTAGGGCCTGGTTCACCCTCCCTGCTGGACCGACCTCACAGAGGGTTTTCAGAATTCAGCAAAACCAACTGGTCAGGTTCAGCCCACATCTGTGCTTCTCCTTTGTTCCATTTCTATCCCTCCCGTCTCACCAGCCTGAGCAAGCATAAGCGTTTCCTCCTGGCAGCCACGCAAAGTCCCCTTCCAAATGCAAGCTTTAAAATAAAGTGCACATTGGAAGGAAGACGCATGCCTTTTAAACCTCCTTTCTCATTTTCGGGTTCTGCAATCTGCCCTGATTTCTGTAAGAATTCTGGGAACCAGCAGTTTTGCCTTTTTTCCCCCCACCACAGACTAGACTCTTAATTTGCCCAAATCTAATGGAAAATAAAGACGTTTGTCTGAGACCAGCCTCACACTTAGAGGGAGTCTCCTTCTCTACCCCAGAGTTTCTGCAGCTCAGTCCTGTTGATGTTTGGGCTGGGGAATGCCTCTCTGTGGGCCTGTTCTGTGCGTGGTAGGGTGCTGAGCAGCATCCCTGGCCTCTGCCTGCTAGTTGCCAGTAGCACCTCCTACTTATGACAGTCAAAACTGTCCTCAGACATTGTCACATGTTCCCAGTAGGGTCTGGGAGGCAAAATCACCCCAGCTGAAAACCTCCGCTCTGCTCCGTTCCTGATTCACAGGCTGCCAGATTGTCATCTTCTCCCTTGGTGGGGCTGCCTCCTCTATAGGAGGGTCCCTTAGAGTCCCAGCTCATTTCTTGTCATCAGAAATGCGGGCCTGGCCATTGATGTCTTCTCAGGAAGTTCATTGATCCCTTATTTTGTGTCTAGTAATGAAGTTTATTGATCAGGGAGGGCCAATGGCAGTTTGTGAACAGAGCCAGAGTCCATTGGCACGTGGAGGAAAGGCTGGGAGTGGGGTGGGGGACAATGTGTCCCCTCAGAGCAGAAAGCAAGCTGGAGTGCAGGCTGTACCTGGAGCCCGGGCCTGAGTGACAGGCTAACCCCAGAGGCCACTAAGCTTGGACGTCAGGCTATCTCTGACATGTCAGGGAAGGACATGCCATATTCAAGAAGTGGGTGCTGAGGCCTCCTGGGTCCCCTTGAGGATCACGTTTTCTTAGTCTTTTCCCCACCAGACTCCTAGGAACAGAGCTGACCTCACATGGCCCAGGAGTAACATGTCCTAGGCTTTCCCTTGGGGACCCTGCAGGCTCTTCTGAGCCACCAGGATTAAAAAGGAACTGTCACTTCATTTTTCTTTATGTTCTCAGAGAAACCAGCAGCTTGAGACCAGTGACATCAAAAACGTGAGCCTCAGTCTGAGCAAGGGTGGAGACTGGTTGTCTGGGCAGTAACCCTTAGGTCGTAGGCCCCTGCCACTCTTTTCAGAGCCGTTGCACCTGGCTTTTCTATCTGGAATCATTTACGGAAGATGGCCCCAGTGGGATTCTTCTCACCCTCACAAGTTAGGAGACGTTCGTGGACTTGCCGGGGTCCTGAAACAAGTCTGATGGGATTAGGACTAGAGCCCTGTGTTCCCAACTTCTCGTTCAGCCTCCTGCTGGAGTGGGAGGGGACAAATGTCGCCTCTGCAGTGGGAGTGTCAGTGTCACGCACTATCCAGAGTCAGCGTTGTCCCTTGGGAGTGCTTCCCGTAAGAAGGAAATGGGCCTGTCTTGAGCACCATCTCCCCAGCACACCAGACCACCACGTGCTTGGGATCAGTCAGATTCAGAATGAGGCACTTGGCCTTTGGAAATCCAGGGCTTTTTGCCCTTTGGATCCCAGCTTCAGAGAGCTGGGCTATTTTCTGTCAACTTCTCTTTGCTTCAACTCTTTTAGTAGCAATCTCTTGTCTTAGAGCCCGGTGTTGGCTGACACCAGAGGGGGCCACCAGCCCTGATGCACCCCGGGGGTCAGGCTCCTGACTCGGGGCATCTCTCCTCCCTCCTCACTCCCTGGCCATGCCAAGCCTCACACTCACCGTGCACCTATCTGGCTTCAAAATCTCTCTGAGCCTCCCAGCCTCGTTGAGTCCTCTCAGGTGAGAGTCATGAGCCGATCTGTCTCTTGTCAGCATCACAGTGTAGCCAGCCAGAAAAAGAAATAGGACTTTGGGGTCATTTTTCCACTTTTTGTAGAAAGTTAACAGCTCAGAGAACTGAAAGCTATGAAAGAGGTAGAGATTTAGTCAAAAAAAAAAAAAAAAAAACAAACATGCAGACATCTCTTTGTAGCTGCCTGACTGATGGCTGTGTTCCTTTCAGTGGGGGTCAACTTGTTCTATTTCTGCATCATCGTTTACCTGTATGGGGACCTTGCCATCTATGCTGCTGCCGTGCCCTTCTCCCTCATGCAGGTGACCTGGTGAGTACCCTCCTGATCCCCAGGCTGGCAGTAGCCAAAGGGGCTTCCTCAGCCAGTCAGAGCAGAGCGTCCAGGGGAGAAGCACCATGCCAAGTGAGTTCATTGCATCTAGGGAATGCAGATGCCCAGGCCCTTTTCTGCATAGGCCACAGCCAGCCATGCTGTCTGTCCTTAGCTCATGTCACTGTCCCCATCCCTGCCCCACTAGGTTCCCACCAAGGACTCCTGAGTCATTGGGAAATGGTGCTGCAGGAACAAGGAGGGCGCGTCCTCAGAGATGCATCCCGCAAAGTGCTTTGTGAAAAGTCTGATTGTTGGTGCTCAGGCAGCTGTGCAGGGAGTGGCTTCTGTCTCCCCCAGCCCAGCCAGGCGGCCTCGCTGAGCCTGGGCTTGCTGTCATTCTTTTTATCAGCAGCGCCGCTGGCAACGACTCCTGCGGTGTGGAAGCAGACACCAAATACAATGACACCGACCGGTGCTGGGGGCCCCTGCGCCGAGTGGACGCCTACCGCATCTACTTGGTGAGTGTCTGTGCCTCTGTGGCCCCTGCCCCAGCCCAGCCTGGGCAGCTGAGGGCATCTGAAGTGCCTTTACTTCCAGGTAGAATCGCTTCCCCAGAGAGGAGGGTCTACCCTTCTCCACACTCTGGCTAAGCACTGGGGCCTTGGCCCCAAGCAGAAATGGATCGCGTCCCTAAGAGTCTAGCCCCCAAGGTTCCTGGCAGCAGGCCTCAAAGTCAAGCGTGGTTTGGAGCAGGCAGGCACTCAGGTCATAGCCAGATTCAGGACCGTGGCTGTTGTAAACTGAGCTCAGGCTCTAGGACCACCCTCAGCAGAGTTCTCCAGGAGTGCCACATCTCATTTTTTCCAGAAACTTTCCATATTTTGACCTTACTCCTGGCCAGCTCAAGAGCGTATAGTTCGATGCTGGGTCTGGCCGTAAACATCCTCTCCACATAGGGAAGGGTCAGCCCACTCTCTTCCTATCTTCCCTCCTCTCATCCTCCCAGCGGACAAGAGAAGACGATGAATCTCCAGGCTCGTTCTTGATTGCTTTGTGCTGTTGGCGGGGGGCAGGGAGCTGAATAATATGCCAGACAGGTCCTGGATAATAAGATACAAAACCAGAGACAGTTATTTATCTCTGCCTACTTTGGGGGCGGGACTCAGAAATGTTTTTCTTCAACTGTTGCAGTATCTGTTAATATTCTCTGCTTCCTCTTGGTCCTCCTCAGCCCTGACATAAATTTAGGTGTGCTAGGTGACACACAGTGTGACACGTGGCCACTTGGCTGATCTGGAGCAGGGAGGCAGGGACCAAGAGACAGCCAAGCTTTTCAGGGAGCTGGCCTCCCGACTTCATTATCCCTATCTGAGGAAAGGTTTCCACAGGCCCTGCAGGCTCTTTGGGGTTGGATTTGTTAACCCCAAGGGGACACTGAATGGTTTTTCTTGCCCTCCTACTCCCACTCTACAGCCGTGCTGCAGGAGCCCTACGGCCTGGGCTGTGGAGAGGTTGCTTTTCCTCTCTGCATCTCTGGAGCAGTCAGCTAATGGTCGGTGTTTCTTCTGCACATTCATCTGTGGCTAGCAGTTTGTCTTTTAGTAGAGCTGCGTCCCTGATTCCTCCGTTGCAGGTCTGGTGGGAATTTGGTAGCAGGTTAATTGTCTGGCACCCTTCTCTACCTCCCCCAACCTTGGGGCGGGAAAAGGCACCAGCATGGCAGCCGGAGGGGTGAGCCCAGGCACTAGCAGCACAGCTGAGGCTCGTTAGCCTCTTCACACTCAACAAACCATGATTGATAAAATTAGCAGAGGTATTAGTAAGTGAAAGGCCCCGTCTGGATCTCTAGCAGGGTGGATGGGCAGAAGGAGGGGATGGAGGACGGAGTTTGAGTGGCTCAGACAGACACGGTGGCCGATGTTCAGGGCAGAGCAGCCACAGCAGAGCCAGTCTGGTGGGTCTTTGCTAGGGAGGCTGCTGGAATCTAAAGACCGTGCCAGGCAAACTCCCCGCCCACCAGCAAAACGGATACTACGCGCTGGGAATATTGGCTGCTGCTATTTGCCTGATAAATTATTTAGAAGCATTATTCTTGCCTTGTTAAATGGTTCCCTCACTTATTCCTATAAACCTTCCACATGATGGAAGCCTCCCTCCCTGGATCTCAATAACTCTCTGACCGAACAGAAGGAACCCTTCAGGAAAACAGACGGGCATTAATTACTGCCTTCATCTCCCAGATATTGCGCTTATAACTCATAGAGCTAATTGTCATCAGAGCCTGCAAAAGCCACGAAAACAGGAAGCAGAGGCCGCAGAACAGGAGTGGAGACCCTGACTGCCCACGAGAGCCTTTTTTTTTCTGGGCCAGTGACAGTATCCTTCCCCCATAGCCCAGTCCCCTGCTGGGGGCTTCTGTTTGCTCAGAGGCTTTTGGTTTGCATGGGCTCTTCTACCCAGTTTGGAGAAATCAAGGCAGATGGGCCTTGGCATTGTCTCGGAAGTCACTTCACAGTTTTGCATGTGGCTCCCAGGGTGTGAGGTTCTGCAGAACAGTAGCCTGCTGTTCCCCTGACCCCAAACTCTGGTGCTTTCTTTGCTCTGCAGGCCCTTCCCCTCCCTCAGTGAGTTGGAAGGGGCAGAGTGACTGGCGGAAGAGGTTGGCAAAGATGTGGGTGTCCTCCCTCAGTCCTGAGCTCTCCTGCAAGTGATGATGGCATCTTCCCCTCCCAAGTCTGACCTGCAGGGCTTATCCCTGTGTGTCTTTGTAAAGGTCAGGGGAGTTAGATTCCATCAACTGGCCCCTTAGGCCCCAGAGGAGGAGGGCTGTCCTTACCCGCTGCCCCCTGGTCATTCTGTTTCAGAAGATTGTCCATCCCTTCTAGGGACGCCACGCTGCCTTTTACCACCAGCTGTTTCTGATTTTGCTGCCAGCCAGACTTCACTCAAAGTGTTCAGCAAGGCAGCGAGTAGGTCAGGGGAGGATTGAAAACTCCTCCCTACTCTGCACGCAGATCTTGTTTGTCTCAGGTAGATGAAGCCCCTACCCAGCCTGCATTTTTCAAAGGGCCTACTAATAACCTCTTCTTCATTGCTGTTCTGCAACAGTGGTTCTGGGGGACAGAGATACAGACTGTTATATTGTGGTCTAACTTTCCGAAAGTCGTCTGGAAGCGATTCTTCTGTGTCTTCCCAGGAATGCTCCTGAGATGTACATGCACAGTGAGAATCCTTACTGTAGTAACTGTCTCCAGGGCTGGCCTGTGTGTAGCATTGTGATTACTTACAAAAAGGGAGATGCTTCTACCAGCAGCTCCCAGTGACCTCCCAAAGCCCTTGACCTTCACCAGTGGAAAATTCCAACCCCCCTCCTTGCGCCTGACGACCCTTGTCCGTATCCTGTGCTTCCCGTTACAGCTGATATGAGTCACTTTCTCCCTCTCCTTCCCTGGAGGAGCCACAGAGCAGGGTGTCATGGGGCACAGGTCCCCTGAATTACTGGCTGCTTCAGTGGGCTCTCTGGGGTGTCCCAGCAGGCCACTGCAGCTGGAGCCAGCGGTGACCTCGGCCCTGTTATTAGAGCCCATGGAGATTATCATCAGGATCCACTGTCAGCTGACCTTGGATTCTCAGGCCCCCACCCACCCAACCCTCCTGCTCTTTTGAAAAATCAAATGGGAATGTGTGAGATGCTCCAGCTCTTTCAAATGGGTAACCTTGCCTCCAGGCTAGGGAACGTCTCAGGATTCTTTCTGCAGTTTCTCCGGCTTTGGTAGGCAGCACAGTCAGAAGTTGGCATTTCATTCCTTCCTCTACAGCATGAAGGGGCCAGGGGCCCCTGGCAAGGTGATAGGATTGCGTATGAACCAGTTCTGTTTGGGACTCAGACTGTCCCAAGTGTCTGGGACGCAGGCGTGTGTCACTCTCCCCTGGGATCAAGGGCACTGCCCAGCGCCTTTGTTGCACTTCCTCATTCCTGCATCACCTCCCAGCCGATATTCCTGTCCCCTGCCTGGACCCATCCCTCCTATAGAGAGTCAGAGGGAAGCAGTGTCAGAGGGGACAGTGGGGACTCCCAGGTGCTGAAAGCCTCTCACCGTTAGGAAGAACACTTTAAGCAGCATCCACCGCTCACAGGTGGACAGATGCTGCTGGGTCGCAGGTGGCCCGGCAGGCCCCGGCCGAACAGAGCCGAGAGCGCAGATGGCAGAGTGGAGCTGATGCCTGGCTGGAGACCCGGCCGCAAACTGGCCGTGTTGAGCAGGGGGCCCCTCGTTGGCTGCCCTGGGACAGGACAAGGTCACCCTGGCCTGCTATCCTGCCTTGAACACAGCAGCTGTGAGATCCACCTCCAGGGCACAGGTGACTCAGGAGAGGGATACAGCCTGCAAGTGCCTGGCCAGTACCTGCCACCCCTTGTGACAGAGAGAGTCTTCCCAAGCTCCCTCCAGACACCCTCTTGAAGAAGTGGAGGGCCAGGGGGATTTCTGTCTGCTGGCTTCTCTTCCTAGAGGGTGAGATCAGTCTCAGATTCAGGCTCACGTTGACACCGGAAGGGTCAAGGGTCCTTCCAGGCCTTTGCTACAGCCCTGTTTTCTCTCGCTCTGCCAGGATTCCATCTTGGCTCCCTCTCCCATGGCAACACTGGCCTTTGTCCGTTTGCAACACTTAAAATGGTGTGCAGTCCCCATTTCAAAACCAAATGGCTTCCTCCTAAAATAGTACCACTCAAGGAGAAAATATCCTTTTCGTGAGGGTGGAGAGGGAGTGATGTGCCCGCCTGGCAGTGCCATGCGTGCCGTGAGTGCCCCGCCCTCCCACGGTTTACCTTGCATCGGTGTAGCGCATACCAGTGACTTTTGACTCCCAGCCACACAGTAAAGTACACAGTGTCATCCCATTTCACAGAGGGGAAACTGACTCAGACGGGAGCTTCCTGGGATCCCGGAGCTGAAGCAGACAGACAACAGCTCAGCTCTTTGGCCTCTCAGCTCTGTCCTGCCCTGGTGACACAGGCTTGCTCCACTTGCCCAAGACTCAGTTCCATAGGCTCCGCTTTGGGAGTGGCCCCCACTGCCATGTGCAGGCCGGGGCACAGAGCACCTGTTATCAGCCCTGGGATCCTGACGTTTTCAGGCAGTTGGGGTGACACAGCTGAGCATGTTCCCTGGTGAGTGAGCACCTTTGCACGTCTGCCCATCATTGTCACCGACTTGATTGATGCCCCATCTGCCTTGGTGCCCCCACTCCTAGATAGCAAGGCCAGCTTTTCCGGGGCACTCAAGTAGTGTTGGAATTAAGTGCCTCTTCCCAAGGACACTTCCTTCCCCTGCCATGGTCTCTGTTCTTCTAGCGTCAGCCACTGTGCCCTGGGGCTGTGGCATCTGCTAATAAGTGGGTCAATGCTGCCTTCACTTGAATATTTATTCTTACCACTGCTGGGGCAGGAGGTGGCTTTGAGGCCTTCAGGACCAGTGAGGAAGGAAAATTAGTGAAGCAACAAGGTTTAGGAGCAGCA